GAACCATCTCGGGCTTTCACCTTTCGATAGTTATTTGAAGAAGCTTTCCTCTTCTTTCCCTTCCCTTGACCAATAGCCAAGACAGGAGCAGCAGACGGATTGGGAGTTGGTGCAACAGACTTGTCCTTGAAATTGCTCTCAGCAACCCTCAAGAGACCTTGGAGCTTACTTAGAGTGACCTCCTCTTTGTTCATGTGGTAGGTCATCCTAAATTGATTATACATCGGAGGCAAAGAGTGAAGCACCATGTCGATCGCCAAGTCTTCGCCGAAGTCAACATTTAACTTGCGAAGGCGGTCGACATACCTTTGCATCTTTTGCAAGTGCACGGTAAGAGATTCTCCATGACCCATCTTAGCGGAAATCATGTTGTGAAGATCTCGTAACGCTCTTGTCTCGCGTTTTGGTGGTACCTCTCCAACAAGTCTTGATGCATCTCGTATGGATACATGTCCTCGTAGGACTTTTGGAATCGGAGTTCATGGTGGCGATCATGATGCAATGTACTTTCGTCGCATCTCGCTCATGGGTTTCAAAGGCGGTGATTTCGCGGGAGTAGCAATTTCGGGGTTGATTTTCTCGAGCTTCTCGTCGAGGACATACTCTTTATCCTCATAGCGAGCAATGGTGCGAATGTATCTTATCCATTCGCCAAAGTTCGTTCCATCGAAGGTGACCTTTTGGCAAAGGCTCATCAACGTGAAAGAACTAGCAGCAGCGTTGTTTGCGTTTGACATCTATAGAAAGGACAAAGATAGATTAGAACAAGAATCCCTAATTATCACCCAATAAGAAAAATTAGGGCTAGGATCCAACAATAACATTTACATACTAGAAAAGGGATGCCGTAATCCAACATGCAAATAAATTGAAGGTAAGTGAATGACGATTCACTAATTCTCCATCACAAAACTTAAACTTTTAGTCCTAAGTGTTTTTGAGAATTCCTAGGTTCGGATGAGATTCATTGAACTATTCAATGGCATGTTTAAATCTCGATATGCCCCTCTTGTTTGTGACTGGGATGCCGAGGATCACAAAGCGGGTGTGAATTACCATGCAAATTTACATGGTGCCTTCATTGTTACGATCACCTATTCGATGTGCCGGTAAACCACACACGCTCCATCGAACTATGATAAACAATGAATCACCCTTTGCCACCTTCGCTTAGAACCAATTAGTGTGCCGGTAAACCACACACGCTCCACTAACATCTTAGCAAGGTGCAAAGTGTAATTTCATGGGATTGCATCAATTCACTTTTCCTAAAGTAACTAAGATTGGGAAATTTAAAAAAGTTTAGTTACTTCGTATTTCTTATTATACTTTTAATGAGAGGATGAGGTTGCCCTATCCTACCCGTTCGGCTAACGACCCTCCACCAATCAAGCAAGCGGTGGGTGTGAGTGTACACCCATTAAGCGCCATTTTATAGGCCGCAACCTTATACCCACCTTATAGATCGGCTTCGTGAATGAGGCCTACTAGCGGTAAGACTAGCATTTAGTTATACATATATATATTATTCTAATAATATCATATAAGTATAGGGTTGTATTTTAAACTTTTCAAAATCTAGGGTTTGAAATTTAAGTTGTCTAAATTAAAGCTTTTAATCACAAATATAAATTTCAAAACTATAGGGTAGGTTTTAAACATTTAAAAACATGGAGGATCAAATAACAAATAATTTCAATTAACAATTAATATCTTAATTATCTTTATTTGATTTATCTTTGATTTCTTTGAGGATAATTACCAAAATAATCAAAATAATTAATTAATTATCATATAGGAAACTAAATATTTAATTAGTTGATAATTACCTTTAACTAGATCAAGATAACACTTATATTTATCAAAAATCGGATTCATATTGATCTAATTAGTTTATGGAAAGTTTGGATAAGATAAACACAAAGAAATCCCGAATCTGGCCCTTCCTGACGCTTGGACTCGCCGAGTGCACAAGGGGACTCGACGAGTCAGGCCTACTCGACGAGTCCACCATGGAACTCGACGAGTCAGTGACTCAAAACCAAAAAATCGAATTTTGCAGGTTTGTTTCAGTTATTCAAGCAACAATTTGTAGAAAACCAATCTAGGCTCTGATACCACTGTTGGGTTTTAGCCATAAGAACTTTCCTATGTGCGCATGCAAAACCCTATTGCTTGGATCTAGGCTTTCTATCAAACATGCTTTTGAATCCAAGACTTCTAATGGCTAATTAGGTTAAACAACAACATTAAACAGATCTAGAATCATACCTTTGAGTTCCTTGTTGATCTTCTTGTCTTGGAGCTTCTAGAGTCACAATTGTCACTCCTCTAATGGCTTACAAACACCAATAGCAAGCAAGATGATTTAGGAGAGAGGAGAGGGGATGGAATTCGACCAGAGGTTCCTTGCTTTAGGTTCTGAAAGGTTGTACACGAATTCCACATCCCAAGGGCCTATTTATACCTTTAGACTCCTTAAGGGTTTCACCCTAAACCCTAATTGGATAATCTTCACTTAAGGCTATCCAAATCCATTCCATAGATATCCTTATGGACTATTTTGAGCTATCCTAAAGCTCTTAGAAACCGTCCAAAGTCCATCCTAATGGATTTATAGTCCAAAGTCTAACTATCAAACAATTGACAGTTTATACCCTCTTATTTAATTAATCTCTTTAAGTCACCAAATTAATACCAATTAATTTATGACTTATATTAATCAAATAGCTAAATATTATTCCTTATAACATTTACTCTCTCTTAACAAATCATCCTTCAAGTTGCTATGGTGAAGGCAACCCAAAAGGACCATGCACCACCGAATATAGTTATAGCCTTAGACACTATTCCAACAGCTGTTGAAGTTTAGTACCGTCTATTTATCGTCTTTAGTCTTGTTTAGGAAGCATGTGTGTCTTTTCAAAAACAATGTAATCACAGAATAATTTATAATCAATAAAATAAATTTTTGTGATATTCTTTTATGTTATATATATATATATATATATATATATATATATATATATATATATATATATATATATATATATATATATATATATATATATATATGCCTCAGCCCAATCTCCCTTCGTTCGCACCGCCCAACGTTTTCGCCACCGGTCGGGGGTATGACACTTTCCCTATTCGATGTTGCGATGGCAGGACATCATTGGAGGAAAAGAGCTTAAGCCAAGTCGATGTCGAGTGGTTTTCTAGGTAACCATTTTGAGACATAGTTCTGATGCACTTGGTATATGGGGACTAGAATGATGTTGGCTACCTAGGGATGTCGGATCAAGCATTATGTTTGGGTGGGGGAATGCATGTGGAAGTGCCATTATACCACCATTGAATGACAACACATCATGCCCGTACATGCAAAGTCAGAGTAGTGAACATGGAGAACTAGGGAGATTGAGAAAATAGTTTATTAACTTATTATATGATTAATAAATTAATTAGAAACTAGCTCGAATTAGTTAGAATTAATTTTAAATAATTTGGGATTAATTTGGAGTGCATGGACTAAATTTTAGTTAGTCAATAGTTAAACAAAGGAAACATTCTAGAACCCCATAAGTGGTAGGCGGTTTTGGAGCTTCCTTGGTGGGTTCCAGAATTAATCCAAGTAATAGATAAGTTAGTGATTTGAAACATGACTAAATCTAATTATTTAATTGATTCAATAAGGTTTATCCTGTTTTAACCACAACTGTAACAGCCCGAATTCCAGGTTAGCTTTATGGCCCTTCTATTTTAGAGAGTTGGCATCTTAGTCCCTTGAAGTTGAAAAGATGATTTGGTGAGTACGTTGGGCGTACTGGGGCGTACACCGCGCGTACTCATGCGCTAAATTCATACGCGTGTTCATCTAGGTACGCTGGGCGTACCCAAGGTTATGCCGGGCATAACCGGCCCAGATGTAAACCCTAAATTGTGGCCTTGCACTATAAAAGGAACATGTAGTCCCTTTCCCTAGCCACCATACACCCTTGAGAGAACCCTTGGAGAGCTGAGATTCGTGCTTTAGCTTGTGTGTGAGTTTTTAAGCTTGAAGTTGTCTTTTCAAGGTGAAGAAGGTGAAGAGGGAGCCATTGTTAGAGCTAGAAGTTGAAGAACGAGTATAGATCCGAGTTCTACAGTGGTTGGAGATCCTTACTGAGGTAAAAAGCTCAAAGCTTTCCTAGTTCTTCATAACCTTTGCTTGTTGGACCATTTGTTAGGGTTTTGGTTCAAAGTTGGAGACTTTATGTGCAAAGAGTCTCCATAAGCTTAGATCTGATCTTTTCTAGTGTAAAATGTGTTGAGGAGTCATAAAAATTGAGTCTTGGACGTGGATCTTGTGGCATGCATGAGTTATAGTCTCATTATGGAAAGAGGAAAGGTGTTTTGAGCACAAAGTGATCTTTACAGCCATGAAAAGGCTTAAAGGTTCCAACTTTATGGTTTAAGACGTATTAAAGGGGTCAGATCTGAAGTTTGGATGCAAGTCTTAACCGTTTAAGACCTGAATATGCTGGACAAAGAAACTGGGCATTACGATGGGCGTAATGCAGTACATGTCGCGTACCCCGTTTCTAAAAGGCAAGAGTACACCCCGCGTACAGGAGCTGGTACGCCCCGCGTACTGCTTGCTATTGACTTTTAGGGTTTTAGTCAACATGAAGACTTTTGGGTCAGGGAGGGGTAAAATGGTCTTTTACCCTTCTGTGGAATTTTAGAAGGAATATAGTATAGCCTTAAGAGTCGTTGATGATTTAGAATGATTATTTGATATGATTAGGCGAGGCTAGGTCGAGGTTACGAGATTCAAAGATATCAAGCACGTGAGACTTAGACATCATACGAGGTGAGTCTTCTCACTATACTATACCTGGAAAGGTACCTATGTGTGACCAGAAGGTCTGGTATGCTATAAGATATATGCATTGTATGTGATTAGTTGTCTATTTTGTATGCATTATGTATGCTATGCTTGATATGGGCCGAAAGGCATGATGTTATGGGCCGGAAGGCATTATGATGTAGACCGGAAGGTCAGGGAGTTATAGACCAGAAGGTCGACACAAGTGGGACCGTAAGGTTTACCGGGTCGAGACGGAAGTCCCCTAAGACACATGGACCGGAAGGTCATGGCCTGGAAGGGCGTATGTGTGTACGTGGTATATTGGGGAACTCACTAAGCATTTACGCTTACAGTTGATGTGTTATGTGTTTCAGGTACTAGCGAGGACCGTGGGAAGGCGCCAGCATGACTCGTACACACACACAATCAGATTTGGATTTATTTGATCTTGGGATTTGACATGTTTTGTATAATGATTATGATACATGGGATTTGTATGGTTTGATTTGGATGAAAATATGTTTTTAAGAAATGAAAAATTGTTTTGAAAAATTACGTTGTTACAACAAATATATAAAGGGGCCTTGGGGAGCTCATAATGTCGTCCCTTATAAGCTTCTGAAATGATGAGAATTTTGATTCCCCTTCCTCTCTCATATTTCTCCTTAAGTTTCTAGGGTTTTTGATTATTAGGTGTAAAGTATTAGAGGTACTCTACTTTGGGTACTAGTGTTCCAAGAAGCAGCAAGAGCATCAAGAGCATCAAGAGATCAAGGCTACAATGCAATTGAATTTTTCTAGATGTAAGTAACCAATCCATTTCAATTGTAGCTTATTAGGTTAGTTTAAAAGTGCATTGCTATATTACTAAAACTTATATCTAGGGTGCATGTACACTTAGGATAATTTGAATGCTTTCATTGCTATAATCTAGTTTATAGTTGCATAGAAAACCCAATAGTGGTATCAGAGCTTTAAGTTTTTGTTATATACACATGATTTAAAACTGACTTTTTCAAAAATTAAAAATTCAAGAAAACTTTTGACAAAGTTGATGAAGAGTTGGCATTAGTTGAAGGGAGAAATTTTGATATAAATCAACGTCTTGTTCGCATTGTAGAACAAAAAGATGCTCTAAATGTTGATTATTTATCTCAAATTTTGGATGCGAAACTTGCTCCAATTCTTTCTCATTTTAAAACATCTTTTGGTGTTCTGGGTAGCAGGGCTACTTTGCAACAAGGAGGAGAGAATGTGGAGAATATTGTTCTGAATATCGATCAAGAAGAGCCTACTAAACTCAAGCTCAAAAGTTCATATGTTGTTCCAAATATGTGTATAAAGGGTGATGCTCCAAATATTACCGTTGGCCATTGGTCATTGAAGACAACAATGGGAGTTCTGATTCCTGATTCTCAAAATTTGGCTGGAGATGGTGTAGGAAAAAGAAATGTGAAAATTATTACTCTTAATGAAGTTGATCCTGGTGACAAAGAAGTAGAAAAAGAAGATCACTTAAAGAAAGATGAAGAGATAGAGAAAGTTAGGCAACTTCAAATCAAGTTGGATGGGCAAGATGCAGAGAAACGTGACTGAGAAGCTACATAAGCATCATTGAAACTCATTTGGCCTGAATGGAATATGAAAAGGATTCAAATGAAGTCATTAAGAAAGTTGAGAAACTTTGTCCTAAACCTCATTCATCATTTGTTGTTGAAAACACTATTGATTGTCAGTTGGATTTCCTAATGACACCAAGAGTTTTTCTGTTCAAATGTTTTTAAAACACAATTAGTGTTGCTTTGTCGATAGTGTTATGAACAAGAAGCTATTTTAGTTATATTTGGATCATTCGTAGCCATAATACAATATTTGGTCTCTGAAGAAAATCGTTTATGTGAAGAAGATTGAAGAAGTTCATTTGAATGATTTTACCAACATTAAATTCACAATTCTAACGGGTGCTAATCATGAACAATCAATTGTTACTTTTGATGATTTACTATTCATCAATCCATATGACTGGTTTGTTTTGTTTGGAATGTTGAAAAATCATAAATCTAGGTTTGGTTTGAAACTACAACGCCTGAAACGAATGATCAGAGATTATTGCATGGAGTTATGAAAAATGGATGTTGATGTGGCCAGAGTGTTGAGAAAGAATGTAAGTATGCAACCGAGTATCCAACCATCTGATTTGAGTGGTATGTGTGAAGGCTTCATTCAGAAAGAACCATTGGGCATTATTTACAAAGTGATTGAAGACAGAGTTGTTCAGAACACGTTGATCTATATTAAAGATAAGCATTGATATAACATAGAAACACTTAATGGTATCCTTGTCGGAGAAGAGATATGCAAATCAAACTCCATTCAAAATATCAAATGGATCTCTGAAATTTTTTGTTGATGGATAATGGTTCGCATTGTGGTTATTAGATTTATTCCAAAAGGTTCTGAAGAATTGAAGTGAAGATCTATTTCACAACTCGATAAAAAGGGGGAGATTATTGTGGTTCATATTGTACAATTGTATTTGAGTTTGGATGCGAAATAGTTTTTGGTTTTTGATGTAATAGTTTCACTTGCAATTGCGAAATATGTGTTTGTGTTCATATTTTTGTACTTAGGTTCGCAGCTTATGTGAGTTTGTTTTGACGGTTATGTTGTGCCTAGGTGTCCTGGGGCCTGATTGGTTAGAAGCATAACCAACTTCCTTGTGTGTCATATATAAAGAGAGTTAGTTAGTACTAGAGAGTATCTTTTGAAAAACGATCTTACATAATTGTAATTGCATTCCTTTTACTCTCTAATGAAAAGTCAAATTTTATTTACATCGTCTATACTTTCTTGATTACGTATTGACATGATCTCATTCTCACAATCTAACGATCTAACAAAATATTATATATATATATATATATATATATATATATATATATATATATATATATATATATATATATATATATATATAGTTTATCAATCAGTTATTTCTGTAACTACATGGTTTTGAACAATATCAACAATATGATAATGTGTTTGGTTTTTTGTTTAATTCGGAAAAGTTATTTTCATTAGATGATATGACCTTAGAGTCTTGTTGTAAAACTCTTGAAAGTTCATTAAGAAAGATGAACAATCAGACATTGATGAAAATGACTTATATATTGAGTTATACTTACTTCTATATCTCTTGCCTAAGGAAAAAAGGACAACAATTGATATTCTATAGTTCTTAAAACGTGTTGATTATTTTCTTGATATATAGAATTATGTTGACTATTCATATTACCATTGCATGTGAAGAAATTAGTTTTTTCCAATGGAAGATATTGAAATCTTATTTTCGATCTATAATGACTCAAGAACGACTTAATGGATTGACTTTTATGACGATTCATAGCAACCATTTGGATAAGGTTATTTATAAATATGTTATTGAAAAGTTTATTTCAACTATTATTATAAGGATGATTGTTTTCAAGTAGAAACAATTTTTTTGTGTGTGTGTTGAATAAAATTTTAATATATATATATATATATATATATATATATATATATATATATATATATATATATATATATATATATATATATATATTGAAATAGAATATGAATAATTATAATTGTTTTGCTTAGAGTTTTTAGTCTTTTAAATTTTAAGGTATATTTTTTGTTAAATTGCATAGAGATACTGAAATTTCTTGTTCGGGCCTACTCATAATCAACAATATATTATCAAGAATATATTTATGTTTTTGTTGAGGAACATACTAAAAACACTAGTTTCTTGGGGTTTTTTTTACCATTATCGTTCCAATATTTTTAATTAGTATGGTACCACCAACCAAACATATAACTACCAACTTTCTTGGTTCGGTTAGTATCATGTTGATTAGTTTTTTATGGTACAAATTTAGCAACCCAATTAATACTCACGAGGAAAATAGTTTCTCACAAACAAATATCAAGTCTTATGGGGACAGTCATTCGTTGTTTTATTAATATAGTCAGCGGATAACAAAAAAAAAGGTCAGTGTAATGTTTTTTATGTCAGAATCAGCATCGTGTGATTTCGCAAGCCTATTTTCATGAAGTTGTTAGTTATTTTTCTTAAAGTTCAAAAAAGTGTGGTTATGTTGTAATATAAGATTTCTCAATATGGTATTTTTATGAATAGCTCTTAAAATTATGATTGATTGAGTATTAAACTAGCTGATAGTGGGTAGCTGAAAGTTGGTAATTGATAACGGGTAGCTGATAACGTTTTATTAAAAGACTAGTTTATAACCCGTGGGAACCACAGTTACAAAATTAAACTTTTAAATAAATTATTAATTAAGAGATTTTTTAGTTATATAATTTTTACTCATTTATTTAAATAAATATGTGAAATTATATCATTTTATAATTTGTATTAATTTTATTTTAATTTTAATTTTAATGTAATTAATTTAATATAATTAGAGCGAAAATTTTTAAATTTGAAATTTGAAATAGAGAATCAATAAGTTGACAAATGACATATATTAATTATGAGATATAATATGGTGACACATGACAAAATAAAAATAAAATATGCATTAATTAAAAGATCTAATAGGATGACACGTATCAAAAGGAGAATAAAATTATTTTTTTTATTACAATAGAGAAAAGGGATACGTGAGATAGATTTTAGATTTAAAGCGTTTAACTTAAATTAAACGTTAAAAGTTTGTAGTGTCAAACGAAGTTTTTCGTTCAAAACAGAATGTTTTGTCAAACACTAGAAGCTAAAGGCTCCCAAACGTACATGCCAAGCATGTCCAATAAGTTCGACATCAACAACAATGTAGCTGATTAGTTAAGAAAAAACTAAAGCGTTTATTTACTTTTCTTGTTCATGTTGAACTTATTTAAAGGATTTTTACATATTTCTTATCGTTACTAAAACTATTATTTAAAGACCTTTGAGTTTTGACTCACATTTTTAATTGATAAGTCTAATAGTCTAAGACCTGATCTTTGGTAGTTGGACTCAATCCTTATAATAAGCCATTTTTATAGTTCCAACTATTCAAGAAAGTAAATTTAAATTACTTTGAATAAATCTTATACCCACCTTCTTGATTAGTGATTACATTAGTCAACCAAGTTTCATATAAAGCATCTTCTGTATAAATATCATATAAATGAAGATGCGTTTCTTTTATATGTACTTTTATCAGTTAAACATATTCTAAGAAATGTAGACAAATTGCATAAAAATGTAACCTTATTCTGTTATTCAATCTGTTTTGTTGTTTAAGGTATTCAGTTTTTATCTTAAATAATAAGGTTTATATTTTCTATTTAAAAGAATAAACTTTAAATTTATTTTCTATCTACAAAGATGATGAATTACCCAAAATGGAAAAAATAGCATCCATTACTTATATCTAAGATGGGAAAATGATCAAGTTAATACATTTTATACATGTAATTAAAATAATGATAATAATAAACCTTTTTTATCGTGTCGTTTGGCATAAATAACTTTTTTATGTGAACCGGTCAATCTTTATTTTAGTTTTTAATTATTACATTGGCAAATAGTCGAAGAATGTTACCTCATTGGGTTTTTGTGGGCCAGTTTTACCGATTCAAAGTTTCACCTTTCCTAATTAGGAAAATTGGTTTTTACATTTTAATCCATTTATTCTTCTTGAATGTTAGAGTAAATTACAGTTTTTGTCCTTGTGGTTTAAGCTTATCTATAATTTTAGTAAAAATTTCAACTTTTGACATGACTCGTCCATGAGGATTTCAAAAATTGCTTGTGTGGTCCTCCATTAAATTTGTGTGAAATGACGAAATAACAATTTTTTGTCTTTCTTTTTTATTAATTTACCATTTATTAAAATTTATGGACCATTTATGTAAATTATTAATAAAATGCCAAAGAGACCTAAAAGCTTCAACCCATCGATGGAAATTCAAGCTTTTTTTGTCTCTTCCATCTCGGCAGCTTCGACGTCGACGTCAATTTCTCTGAGTCACTCTCGCCTCATGTAACTCCGGCTTCAACGCCTCTTCGGTTCCAACGCCTAAGTTGTCGCAATCCATCGTTGGAACCCCTCTCTCTCTCTCTCTCTCTCTCTCTCTCTCTCTCTCTCTCTCTCTCTCTCTCTCTCTCTCTCTCTCTCTCTCTCACCTAACCAAAAAGGCAAAAATAAACAACGGTGGAAATGAACATGGTTTAGTGAGATAGAAAATTGGTTGTCGGTGAATGGGACACGTGTCTAAGACAATGCAATAAGATGAATAACACCATAGAGAGGTAATTGGTTGATTAAGATTAGATGATACCCACTTAAGAGTAGTGCATCAATTCTTCACCTATTAAGTGGTTGGTGGTGACCGGTAATTCGGGTGAACACATTTATGTTGTCGAAAAAAAATGAGATGCATGTGGTAGTTATGCAAGAGTGATGGTTTCATAACTGGTAACTGGAGTCGAGTGGGGTGGGGATAAAGGGGGTTAAGGATGAGGATGAGAGGATCTGGTGGGAAGTGAAGAAGAGAAAAGGAAAATAGATGTGGCGGTTTGTCTAACCCGAAGAGAAAAGGAAACAATGAAGAAAATTGAAGGAAAAAAAGAATTCAACAAGTTGGTTGGAGACGTGATGGATGGGAACATTGTTCCTTCTTCCTTGGTATCGACAGTACCAGAGGGTTTGAAGGGTCCTCCGGCAACCACCCCTTCCTAAGAGGGGAGAGGTAGGTAATGATTCTTAATATTTTAAAATAATAAATTATTTAAAAATGGTTAGACTTAAAAACTAACAACTAAGATGTTAGATTAACATCCCAATGACTAATGGTGCGATTTTTGCAATCCAAAAGGATGAACTATGTCAAAAATTAAAAACTGGATTAAAATTGCAAATTATTGTTAACTATAGGGACAATACTTTAAATTTGTCTTAATGATATTAAAGTTTATTTGAACTTAGGTCTAAATTTTATATCAAAAAGTTTTTATTATCATATGCTAAATTTTATATCAAAAATTTTTTATTATCATATGTAAACTATGATAATGTAAAATTAGTCTCCAAAAATAGAATAGCACTGCTACAAGTTTTCTTTTATCTTTTTTTTTTTCGAACAACTTGATTTTTAATAAAAGGTTAGCAAAAAGCTAAAAAAAACCACAATAGTATAGACAAAATAGGATTTTGCACCCATGCCAAACAACTATTTTCTTATTAAGAAAAACAAACCAAATATATGAATAAACAACCAAATTATCTATTAACAAATTCCGCCTTGACCACCAAAATGATACTACTCTTGAAGTTCCATAAGAGCCACTACATGGTCATAATTATAGCTTCTATTCCGATTCTCTTAACCAATGTAAAAGGAATAGAATCAATCATAGTAACCACATCCTCAATCTCCATGAAAGACAGAAGTAAAATGTGACACCATCTTCCAATAAACTTTCAAAGATCAGATGTTCACAATGAACAAACAAATGAATGTTATTCCATATTTCCATTGTATAAAGAACAAACCACCAAAGGAACATCTAAATTTGCACGAGTTGGAGGCTTATTTAAAGGCATCGCCAAAAAAAATATATTAACTTTACTAGGTATATACTTATTCCATCTTGTACTACGAACTTCATCAGGAAGAATTGAATCATCAATAACTCTACGAGCTTCCGCAACCGAAAAAACATCGATGTCACCCAAATCCTGAATCCACATATCTCTTAAACTAGAAAAATAATACCCAAGAATAATTGATTGAAGATGTTGTATGCGAGCAAAAAAAAATGTATCTCCCTCAATAGGCCTAGACAATTCCATGTCCATGAATGCTCGTTCCACCTTGTTCACGACTCTAGGCATACCAAATAAGGACATATAAAATGTGCCAAGCGATTGCACAGCTGTATTTAAAATCATAGAACAACCACAAATAGAGACTAAACGGATCTACCAAGAAGTAAGCTTCTTTTGAAACTTGTTAATAATAATCTTCTATCCAGAGAATCTAGACATAAAGTCGCCAACGGGAATACCAGATAAATAAAAGGTAATTTTGTGCTCTTACATCCTATAAGCAAAGAAAATTGATCGATCTCCGATTGAGAAACACAAACTCCAAATAAATTCGATTTATGAAGATTAATCTGAAGACTCGAATCTACATAAAAAACAGTGGAGGATAGCAACTAGATTAATAATATTATCTCTCGACCAATCTCCAAGAATATTGCATCGTCTCGATTAAAATAAATGTGACAAAAAATACTTGGATTACCAATATGAAGGCCACAAAAAAACCCTGCATCGACTTTTTCTTCAAAAGCAACATGCAACTCTTCCATTGCTAAAATGAAAAAAAATAAAGGAGAAAGATGGTCACTTTGTTTCAAACCACGATGTAAAGAAAATTCATTTATCGGACTTCCATTAATTAAAATTGAGGACTGCCCATTGTTTCAAACCAATCCTTATCTCTGAAAAAACCCATACACTCCATAATTTTAAAAAGATAATTCCTAGAAAACAAGGCGTAAGCCTTCTCGAAATCAAATATAAAAATCAAGAGGTTTTTATGTTTCGTCTCGCACCAATCGACAACTTCATTAACTATAAGAGGCCATCCATAACTTTTCTACCTTTCACAAGAGCACAGTGAACTGAATTAACCATCGAATCAACCACTTCAGCCAACCGAAGCGCCAAAAGCTTAGTAGTCACCTTATATTTGTTTACCAATTAATGTAATTGGTCTATAATCTTTAATATATAATAGGTTAGCAATCTTTGGAATCAAAGAAATGAACAACGAATTACATACTATAGGAATGCACTTTGATTGGAAAAACAACAAAATAAACTTGTATATACCATGTTGCACGATGTCCAAATATCTCTTCACAAAAGAAAAAGTAAGACCAGGCGCCTTATCACTCACGCAAGCCCCAAACAACTTGTTGCACCTCATCAACCAACGAAATCGAATCAAGAAAATAAACCTGGTTCAGATTCAAAATCCAAAAAACGAGAAGTAGGATTCAAAAATCCAATTCCTTGAAAAGGAGCGAATACCCTTTTGGTGACCAAATAAAGATCCAATCTACTCATCTTATCACAGCTTCGGGTGCATCGAGTATATTTGAACCCTCCCATAGGAATATCAAAAAGACTATTTTCCAAAATAAAACTATTAAACTTATATGCAGTAACATCTTGTTTATCTTGAACGCCTGGAGGAGCATACAAGTTGCACATAGGAACTGGAATATCAAAATTAACTCACTCCGTGTCACCAATCACCAAAACATTTGTGCAATGAATTATCCTTTTTATGAACACATTAGGATCCCAAATAGAAAATAATCCACATGCGTGTCCTCGAGTTTGACTTGAAGCAAAGTCAAACTGATTATTACCCCAAACCACATGAATTTTAAATAGATCTACCATTGTAAGAAACGTTTCCTGCAAACATAAAAAACTAACATCATATTTCAAACACACTTTATTAATACTTCTCATTTTCTTCACCTTTCCCATTGAAGGACAAAATATTCATGGATATACATGTTTTGCACCCAAACTAGCTAAAAGATTTTGAATTTCATTTTATTTTCAACTCATATTATGACCCAATGCTTTGGCAACAAGTAAATATTTTTCTACATCATCCAGTAAAGACTTTCCTTCATTCTCAAGAAAACTAAAATTCATGAATTGAGAATTTTGGTTTCTTTTAAAACTAGAAGCTTTCGAAAATGACGAAGCACAAGACATATGTTTCTTAACCATTCGAGAAGAGGACATAACATCACTACGCTCACTGGTGAATCTTTTCCCACCAAAACCTAGAGTCTTAGATAACGATTTCGAACTAGAAACAATCATACATATCTTTCCACATTAAGTAAAAAAACAACCTATAAAATCATTTCCATGTCAGCTTATTATGTTATAAATTCTGTCAGGGTTGCTTTTCTAACATTGCATTGTTGTATAGATTTCGACCCCCCTGTTTATGGGAAAAAGATTGCAGTTAGTTTAATAGTAGCGATTGTTGGTGGAGGAGTATTTTTTGTATTTTTAATCGTACTTATCTTGTGGAGAAAAGGCTTCTTTACGGGTAAAAATGCGAAAGATAGAGGTAAATACATTTTTCTAATATCATTTGAACGTTTAAATTTGCAAAAAAAAAAAAAAAAAAAAAAAAAAATAGTCACAAACCTAATACAGCAGATTTTTATTTTATTTATATAACAGAGCTCAAAGGTCTGGATCTGCAAACTGGAATATTCACTCTAAGACAGATAAAAGCTGCAACTAAAAACTTTGATCTGTCAAACAAGCTTGGCGAAGGTGGTTTTGGTGTTGTTTCCAAGGTGGTGTCAACTTTCAACTGTCAATTCGTTCAGAGCACAAATTTTATTATTTTTATGTTACTAATAAAATATGTAATATATATAATAGGGTTCATTATCGGATGGGTCAATCATTGCAGTGAAACAACTATCATCAAAGTCCAAACAAGGTGGGACAATAACTGCCTATCTCGTGCCCTTTTCGGTAAGCTTATCATTTTAACTACATAACTCATCCCAAGGAATTGTGAAAACCTGATGTTAGTTTTGCCAATTTCAACTAAAATAACTGCTCAAACCATAGTTGATAGGATTCTTATTTTTAAATCCTATTAATCCCCAGTTTAAAAAGGTTCCAGGCGATGCTGTGATAGGATTCTTATTTATTTTATAAATCATTAAACTAGAATACGATTTTAATGACAAGATTCTTATTATTGTTGATTTATTAAACACCCGAATTATGTCACCTATTTTGATGTATTGTATTTTGATATTCAATGAAATTGGCTTGTAAGGACCCCCCTTTTTCCTTCTATGGAAGCAAACACTGAATCTTATTACAGACAATAACACTTCAAAAAAGAAAGTAAACACAACAAGTAAATATATGATACAAACCTTGAACCTGTCGGTGCTCACAAATTCTACATGTTCGCCACCTGCAGATGTGGTACTTGTTAACTTGGGCATGCCAACCAGTTCAAGAACATCTGCAATTTTTGCTCCACCCCATATTGCTGACACAATAACAACAAAACACAACTTAGGTATTTGGTTTCTTCTTTTTGATTTAATAATGTCATTTAAGATGCAAAATTCCTACTTCTGGAATCTCAAATCAACCCTAATTATGATAACAATCCTACTACATACATGGGATTAATATGTGTCATAATTCATGAATCCTTAGACAATTGCATTTGACCATTTTTTTTGATGTGTATTTGATAGTGTCGTTTTCTTTGAATCTTGATAAAAAAATACCTTTTTGGAGAATCCTTCTTAAATTATAGCATCAAATCCTACACTTGATCCCTTTGTTTGCTGTGTAATTTGATAATGTAGTTCATTAGCTATGACTAATCCTACAAAAACATAAATAAATTTGATTCATGTCCCTTTGTTTACTTGTGTGCCTTTTGCCTTTATAATTGATGATGTAAGATGTAAAATCCCTACTTCTTGAATCTTGAATCAACCCCATATGTGAAAACAACCATTATGTTTTGAAAATATTAACTTTTTCACCTTGGAATGTAAGATCAACCCCATTCCTTGAATCTTGAATGTTGAATCAACCCCATTTAAGATGTAAAATCTCTTTATTTCTAATGTGAAATTTAATTTTAAAACTAAAGTTACTGTTTACTAAATACTGTTACTAAATACTGTTACTGTTGACAAAAAACCAAGTAATTGTTTCTTGTATGGAGAAGAGATGGTCTGATGGAGGAGATTGTATGTCTTAGGGTACGCTTCAAAACTTAATACAAACTCATGACAGCAGAAATTGCAGCTTCTGACAAGAGCAAACTCAGTTTGTGCTTCATGTTTATCTTTAGGGGGGAACGACAATGCAAGGGCGTTCTCATCAAAAAGGTACCCTTCAAAACTTGATACACCACACTCTACACCTAAAATTGGTCCAAGGGCAACTAATGTTGAATGCAAATGTTGATCTTCTAATGTTGTTCTTTTACAATGTTGTTCTTTTACATGTGGTTGGAATTGGACCTAAAGTTGGTTGCTGATATAGGAATAGTGGGTGCTCCAAATGCAGGAAAAAACATGTTTTTAAGTGTTATTAGTGTTAGACATGTAGTGTTGTTTTGACATGTAATGCTTAAGTAACTTGTTTGCACGTGATATTTTTTTGAAATGAATTATCGTTCTTATGATAATTTCAATCTATTGTTAAAAAAATATAATTTATAGATTTACTAATTTTCAAATTAAGTTTGCATTTAATATTAAATGCAAATTTAATTTGAAAATTAGTAAATCTATAAATAATTTTTTTTAACATTTAAAATTACGATACGCAAAAATGTGTGTCATCTTCATTTATGACATGACCTTTCTTGACAGGGGCTTCCATGATACGCACTGCGTCTCATTAACATGCGCGTCGTAAGGTTACGACGCGCTAATGCGTGTCGTCTTCATTTATGACGGGGCCTTCCTTGATACGCATTGTGTGTCATAAACGCGCGTCGTAATTGTGCGTCGTAAATGAGCGTCGTAAATGCGCGTCGTCTCTCTTTATGATAGGGCCTTCCTTGACGCGCATTTGCGCGTCATCTGAGCCTTTTACGACGCGCAATGAGCGTCGTAAAAGGCTGTTTTTCTAGTAGTGAATAAAAAATGTTTACCTTTAAATAAATAATTGTATTTCCATAATTGTAATGAATGGATGACAACGAGTAGACAAACAGCTATGCAGATTGACATACAGTTCTACAGACTGACAAACATTATTGTGGACTGACAAACAGCTCTGCGGACTCACAAAAAGCTATACGGACTGAAAACAACTCTATGCGGAGTTGAAGGGACTATATATAGTCATGTATGGTTGTTGGATTTTTGGTATAAAGTTATATTTTTTTTAAAATTTAAAATGAGTTCATCTTCAAGTTTGTATATTTGCGCGTGCAACGAAATTTATTGTTTCTATTGTAATCCGATCGACCCTTTTCTTACCCCATCACCAAATTTAAGAGAGTCATATATGTTTGAGGATACTTTGCAACAACTATAATGAGCTGAATAACAACATAAAAAAGATAAAGAGTCATCTCGAGCTCTCACTGAACGTCGTTACCTCATTGCGGCGGAGTGCAAAGAGGTTGAGGAAAGGATGACGATTGCTAAAAAAAATCAAAGATCATGAGGAATGGATAAAAAAACTAAGAAGAATATCAAACTATCTGAGAAATGGCTTGCTGACAAGGATACAGAAATGATAGAACTTGGGAGTCAAAAGGACCGTATGGAAGATAAAATAAGAATTATGGATGACTACATAACAATGGAGAAAGAAAAGTATGATTTGCAATTCCCTTAAGTTAATTACTATTGTTGTACATTTACTATATGTTTCTGGTTTGTTGAATGTATTATCTTCGAGTTCTAGTTATTATTCTACTAGTAATGATGCACTAATATAATCATAATATTACCCATCATCTTTAAAATAAACACACCATTTCAACGTACACAAATTAATGTCCTCTAAAACAAAACATAATTAATTATAAATATAACATCAATCATTCAAATCAAACGTTGAACAATAGTCTTCTCTTTGTGTCCCACTCGTCCAACGTGTCTCTTGTGTCCCATGCGTCTCTAGCGTCTCCTTTTCCTTTGTGTCGCTTTCCCTTTCCCTTTTGTTTTACTACCTGATGTCGCACTATTTATTATAGCCTTTTTTTGATTCATTGGGACCAATGTCGGCAAGTCGCTGCATTATGTGTTGTACTATCACATCTACTACACCTTCTTACTATAGGTTCCTCACCTTGTGACGGGATACGATTTCTGTTTCTGGGTCTACCAGCTTGAAGTGTATCCATTATCGGTGGTTTAACAACCATCATCTCAACAGGAATTCCCCAATCACACGGTTCTGGATGTGGGTAAACAAGTTCCTCATACGTACTATGGTAAGTTTCCATTTTGTAAGCATATATAGCCAGATGTCCGAAGTTAGTTTTTTTTCAAGTTCTTTAAAACCATTATGACATTACCACAAGGCAACCCAGTTCCTTCCCAATATTTGCATGTACAAGTCTCTTGCATCAGATCAACTATACCACCATGTTTGAAATCATGCACTTCATATATTGCATCTGAAACACCAGAAATGGACCATCCTGTCGTACGCTCTTCATTTTTACTAACTACTTTTTCATCCCACTCGGTTAGCACTGTTGAACGTTTCCCTGTGAAGCATATATATATATATATATATATATATATATATATATATATATATATATATATATATATATATATATATATATATATATGTAATTAACTTATTATTCGAGATGATTAAAGTCCAAATTAAATTCATACCTCCATCGATGTGATGCTTGTTACACCATTCCTGTGAAAGACAACGGAAGAACTCAAGAAGGGGTATTATAGGCATCTTCCTTGCATCTACAGATAAAGCGTTCATGGACTCTACATTGTTTGATGTCATGTAATCGTAGCATTTCGGCGGGGAATATGCTCTAGTCCATTTAGCACGTGGAATTTCACTTAGATACGCCGCTACTTGCGGCCTAGTAGAACTAAATCTAGACCACAATTCTTCAAAAAACATTTCTTTTGTAAGGGTTAACAAACCTCCAAAACAACACTTTTGTTTATTAGTTTTCCCAAACTTGTGTACTATGTTTCCTAGTAGATGAAAAGCACACACGCCATGATGAGCATGAGGGAAAACATTTTCAATACTAACCCAAATTGCATCGGCCCTATCAGTTACAAAAGTCAATTCTTGACAATCACCAACACATTCATACAACTTTTCAAGAAACAATATCGAAGTAAGACCACTCTCTTTTTTGCATATTCCGTGCGCAAGAGGCAGTATCTGGTTGTTCTCATCCATAGATACCGCATGCAATATGGTTCCTTTAAAATCACCCTTCAAATGGGCATCATCCATAATTGTAACTTTAAGACAAAAATGTTTGAACGCTCGTCTCTACAATATATTAAAATGGAACACATAAACACTCTACACTTTTTTACAAATAATTATATATTAAATAGCAAGTTTTTTGTATTTACCGTGCTCCCAATGGCATAAAAACAAGACTCAAAACAATCTTCATAATTTGTTTGTATATAGGCCACTGTACCGGGATTATGCCTCTTCAAATTGTGAAAATAAATAGGAAGTTTGGAAAAGCATTCTTCAGAGGATCCCAACAACAATTCCAGAGCATATTGTTTTGCACGCCAAGCTTGTTTGTAATTTACATTGATTTCCAGCAAAGCATTCAAATCCCTTGATATTTCATTAGGCCTCCAACCCTTGGAACATGTTTTTCCCATAATCTCATGCAATATAGTACCCATGACTTTTTTTTATTAACATGCTTATTGTTAGGGTGTATCTGTAATGACGAACATGTGTGCACGTTGTTGAAAGTCCTAATTTCAAATTCATCAGTGGGATGAATGCGTTTTGCATATAAACGACAACTACAGTTCTCAATTTCACAATATACCTCATAACGATTTTTGTTAGAATGTTTGGTCTTATACTGAAACTTTTCTCTGGTTGCTTTAAGACTCAAAGCAAATATTAGTTATTGTTTGTTATCATACATTGGACGAACAAACATATCATCATTAGGACCTAAACTGTGAAATGGTCTGTGTTCAACAATAAGATCAGGACAATCAGGTATGTGAGGTATACCGTAAAATATGTCTGAAGCTTTTTTCCCCGTGTGTGAACTCATCTTCTGACCAGCCTTCATTTGACTCTTCACCGTCTGACAAAGTTTTGTCAGCCAGTCTTCCAAAACTCATATAAAATTTTCTTCTTCCATTGTATTCACTGCCACAGTTTCTTCTTCTGGACACTCTTCAATATTATCAGATACAATGTTTTCAACATTTTATGGTACAATCTTGTCAACCGCTTCTGTCTGTTCGACCCATCCCTCAAACACCTCCAAATACAAATGCACAATCTCCTTCGTTTCAGAAATTACATTTCTGAGTTGATGAACATCTACTTCATCTATAATATTC